TTTTTTATCTGTAATATTTGGTCCCTATTCTCTTAATTTTTATTTAAAATAATTTATGAATTGAAGATTTATTTTTCAATTTTATTATCCTTTAACCTTTTCAAATGCCAGATTTGGTACTCATGCTCTTAATAAAATTTAAAAAATAAATTAAAATATTAATAAATTATTTTTTAGTTTATTTCTATGATATTATTAAACACTGAAAAATATTTTTTATTTAATTTTTCTTGACACCGCGAAACATTAGAAAATAATCCTCTTTTCAAGAATTCACTTTAAAAAAAACTTTTTGGTGAATAAATGGGACCTAAATTTAAATATATATATCTATTTTAAAAGACAAACTTTTAATTTTTTATGATATGATCATATATGTATTGTTTTAAAATATAATAAAATATATCAAATAAAAAAATAAAAAAAAATCATAATATAAAAAATAAATTTTTTATTAATATATATATATATGTATGTATTATTAGCAAATTGAAGTGTTTTTACTTTGATTTTGTTTTTTTCCTCATATTATCATAAATATATTATTTCTCCATAAAAAGTTTATATTTAATAATTTATATGGGTTGGTAAAAAAAGTAAGAGTTAAGTGGATTTAATTAGATATACCCAGTGAAAAAAAATTGTTTACTATAATATCATATATCTATCTATTGTAACAATTTTGGCAAAATTTAAGATTTTACATGGGGGGACATAATTCAAAAAAACTCGTTCAAGGATTAAATTGTATTGCAATAAAATACTAGGACCAAAAATTGTTGTCAATTAGTGACTTGCCTGTAAGAGGAAAACATAAGGGCTAAAATAAAATCTTCAACAAGTTTAGGACTAAGTTGTACATCAACAAAATATCCTGTACTGTTAGCGTATGACCCTTGTCATTATTTAAGAGCATTAGTGACAACAATGAAGAAAGTGATTTAAGAATGATAAAAATATAATATAAAAGGTTGATATTAAGATAAAAATATAATATACAAGGTTGATATTAAGATAAAAAAATAATAGTGAAGGGACCTTTCAAACAAAGAAAGAGCACATGGAGTATATCAAAGATAACCCACATCATTTATTATGATTTAACATCTTTTGATTAGGGATAGACAATTATTTGTACAATAAACATTCTTATACATTCGTTCACGCAAATTATTCGAAAGCTCTCTTTTCTTTTTATATACTACAGAGTAACATGATGGTTTTGTTGAAAAATACTCGAAAGAGTAGACGTGTATTTAATTCGCATATATTTTATAATCATGGGTATATCTTTTAACATATCAATTTAATTATTTACCAGGTAAACTTCTATTTATCGTTACTCTAAAATTAATAAATTATTCAGTCTCGTCAATTTCAATTCTTTATTATTAAGTATGTTTTTATTTAAGATTAATTTTTAAGTTTCTCTCATTATTTGATAAGATGGTATTTTATATATATATATATATATATATATTCTCTCGCATTCACTTATTTAATTAGATGATTAATTAGTTTATTCCCTTACACTACATACTAGCTGGATAACAAAACTAATACAATAAAATAACAAGTTTGTAAATATCTTTTTGATCTTCCTATTAATTTGGATTCAGTAAGTTAATTCTAAAACATTTTAATTCAATTTATTATCTAAGTGAATTTTAAATTAAATTATATAAAAATTATCGTGATATGATTTAATTAATATAATAATTTAAAAGGATATTAAACAACATGTAAAAATAAGGTTTTATTTTAAAAATAATTAAATCAATTTCATTATTAAATTTTCAATTTCTTATGCTTTTCCTCGTTATTTCAAATAAACTTTCAAAATTCTTATTGTGGTTTTTTTTTTTTTAATGACAGTCTTTGTATTACTGCTGGAGCTTACCTGTAGTGAAGTGATAATCTTATATTTTTTTATTTTTTGCTTCGTGATCTTTAAATATCTCATGTAAGCAATAGGCATCCCATTTTTTTTTATTGGAAGGAAATTTCAGTAATTTCAGTTCTAGATTATCTCAACATTCTGTTTCCAGGTCACACATATAATTTAAAATATTAATCAAGCATGATTAAACCAGCTACCTTGAAAACTGGTTTCTTTACGTTCAATAACAAGTATACGAGTATTTTGGCAAAAAATAATACAAGTAAATATCACAAGATTTTAGTTCCAAAAGACATAGACATATAACGTGCAAAAGAGAAAAGAGCTTAGAGTGTCAACTTAGCAGAAGGAGAAGATTGAAGCCATTACCAAATCTTTCCAATGATGATATATGCGAGCGATCTCTTTCACTGCTTCAAGTCAAACATATTCATGACAAATACCTAACCCAAGATGGTATCCTAAAATGTTTAGGTAGGTACAGCTAATTTAGAAATAAGATTTATATGTGAGATAATTTATTAATTTTTTAGTTTTAAAAATTTAAAATTTTTTTATAGTAAAAAAAGTTGGTATATGAAAGCTCTCCTTGC